CCTGAGGCGGGACCTCGTGCGCAAACTCTGACATGCGGCTGTGATTTATTAATGAAAGATGCGCAGAAACGTGCGTATGCATAGTTTTATGAATCTGAAATTTTTTTTGGCGTACGCCATTTCCACCTTTTGGCCGTACGTTCACTTTTAGTATGGTTTCCACACAATCCTTTATAAATCTGACCCCAGATCTGTAATCTAAATCCATGCCAGTTACGGGCCGTAGTAAAAAAAGACCCTGGGCCCAGGTCCGTTTATGGGTCCAGGCCAAAAGCTCGTCCCAGAGCAGAACACGTTTGTTGTCAGGGTAGATAAACAACTGCACGGGTAGTTTGTCATTATTTTTGTTTGTACAAAAGCAGCTGGAGTTTGTGACTGCGCTGTGATGGCAGCTGGCTAAAATGCTGTCAGAGGAGGAGGAGAAGAGAAATGACCTTCACATCTCTGAAATAACAGAAGAAACAAACAACCAGGACCTGTGGCAGGTCTGTGTCAGTCACACAGAAACAGCTGTAAACCCTGTGGGGACCGTGCATTGACTTTCATTCGTTTGTTTCAGACTTTATAGCCTAACCCTGTCCATATACTCTAAAATTAACCTCACAGGTACTTATCTGACCCTAAAACTAACCTAAACCTTGGTCCTAAACCTAACCCCCCACCTGAAATGGGCATTGGTCCCCACGAGGCTGCTTTATTGGGAAAATCTTCCCCACGTTGTTGGAAAAACCCGTGCACACATACACACACCTCAAAAATGAATATGGCACATCTCTGGTTTATGGTTCATGCTCTAGCTCAATGTTTACTTGGTATTGGGCTGTATTATGTAGTTCTAACAAAGGACCAATGCCCAAAATTACTACATATTTCATGTTTTATCAAACAGTTTCCCCCTTTTTGGCCTCATTTTTGTTTGTACCCGGAACACACACTTCAGTTTACTGATTAGGTAATCTGCTGCTTGTTTCTGAGATGGTTCAGGACTTTGTGTACGGTACCTCAGCCAGGCGGTCAGCCAGAGCTTTCACCATGATGCTGCTGTAGTCGTCTCCTTCAGCCAGGAACCGCTGACTCAAATCCTCAGCTCCAAACACTCCAACAGCAAACATCCCAACATAGTCCGCCACTCCACTGTCTACAGGAGCCACAAAATCAGAAATACACAGGTAGGGTTCTGAAGTGGAGCCATCCTTCTCAGCCTGTACAGCACACAAACACACAAACACACAAACATCAAGTTTCAGTAACTCTGTAGACTGAGCAACAGTTCAAAACCCAACTTTATCCATCACAACTCTTTAAACTGCTGATGAGCCGAACAAAAAGTGTCTGAGGAAACACCAGTTTCTGTACCTGCTGCCGTAAACCATAAAACTTGGCAACGGGCTTTGTGTCTTTGCCAACTGGAACATCATCTTTGTAGATGTTGATGTCATCACCATCACTCTGAGCACGCCAGAAGCCCACTAATCCACTCCCCTTCAGACTGCTGCTGTCAATCACACGGCTGAGCATCAACTGGGCGTCATCAAAGACTTTGCGAGCCTCCACACCTGCAAGAAAATGTGATAAATATTATTATTTTTTATTTTATACTTTATTTTTTAAGTCTAATTCTGAATTYGTCTCCAGGTTTGTGTGTCTCCCTCAAGGTAAACAAGCTTTTCTCACTAATGTTAGCTGTTGTTCTGTTCATCTTTAATAGAAGAGAATAAAAACAATCCCAGGTTTCTGTTCAGTACTGTAACTAGACTAATGAAAAGTCCTGTCTCTGTTGAGCCATGTGTCCCTATAACTTTAAGTAGTGATGACTTCATTAGATTCTTCATAGATGAAATAATTTTATTAAGGAATACATTTCATGCCAAACTTCCTGCTACTGTCTCAGATGATGCAGCTTTAGTGTCACTAGAACCTGATTTATGTCTGGACAGTTTTTGTCCTGTTGA